GCAGGGAGAGAAGCAGAGTGCTGTTTAAAACTAAAAGATAATGTTGGCACAAGAACAAATGCATATAAACTGTCTGAGTAAATTAAGCTGGAAATTAGGAGATGAAGTCTCAAAATCAGCTGAGCCTTCTTGTAATAGTAGTTGCTGTCCTGTTGAGTACATGCGTGATCTGTTAGTTCTTAGGTAGATGTGTGAGGTTTTGCAGAACTAGAACCTTTGCTGTGGAAAGGAAGAGTTAGAACCAACAGAACCAAATTTCTCTTAAAATTGTGTTGATCGCTTTTGTTATCAGATAAGTACGTTTTTGTCACTACAATTTTTCATTTTGTTACTATCCCTTATCTATTTAGAGTCTGTCTTTGCTATGATTTATGTCAAGGTTCTCTTCTGAATGGTGCAGCTGGTTCATAGTATTTAACATAGCAGAGAACGTGGAGGACGTAGGGTCAAGACCCCGTTGGGCTAGGTGCTACTTGAGGATTTTGAATAAACATGTCCCTATCCCAGAGACCTCACAGTTCCTTTTTAGCTTTAAAGAGGATGAACTCCTTTTAGGAAAAGGGGAAATAGTGTCACCGTGCAACTCCTCTCTGTTATAGCAGCAGGGCTAGTCATTTAATACCTTGATTTATAACAGTGTTGTAATCTAAATAGGAAGCAGGTGGAGTTACAACTGGGCATGATACTGTGGATATTAATGGCTTGGCTTGGCAGTGGAATTCTAAAGCTGTATATACTTTTTCTGTCTTAATTATGCATTCATTAAAAGCTTTTATACCCAACAGAATAAAGTAAATATTGTTTGATCTCTGTAGTGTGCTCCCAGACTGTAGATTTGCACAGCAGGGTCTTGATAATCTGAATAAATTGTATTTCCCCAAGGAGTTTATCTTTCAAATAAGGTCATAAAGAAATGCATTTTTTTCCCTTAGTTCTCCTTGTGCTTTTTCTGCTATTTATAACACAGAGCAGAGGAATAGAGGTATATTGTAGTCTGCTGTGTACTTGGTTATGATTAACTCTAATTTGTCGATCTGTTACTTACATCCTGTTCTGTGGCTTGTGCAACACAATTATTCTTTAAAGTACAAAGGAATAAAGATGGATTTGGAAGTAATTTAAATACAATGTTTATATCTGTTATTCCTGTTTGACAATTTATCATATCTCTGTATTAAAGTACACCTCCATATTAAAGCATGGTCAATGTCACATCATTTATTTTGAATATTTAATATTGTCTTTCAGATTATGTTTGTTTGGAAAAATTATTTTCTTTTGTGAGGGTTTTAAATGTCAACTCATTGTTAAATTGATTTGCCATCTAAAAGTTGATACTACTGAATCAGAAGACCAGTCATGTAGAAAAGGGAAGCAGGGGGATCTATAGTAAGCAGAATGAATAGCATCAAAGGTAGTTTCTCATTTTAGAAGTAGACACTGATAAATAATTTGGCCAATTTATTCGTGGTTTACTGTAAGATTTTAGAACTATTTCAAGTGTTAGTTAGAAGATCTGTATATATAATCTTACATGTATTTTCTTAGTCTGAACGTGTTTCAGCAGTGTAACATACATCACGTTAGAAGAGATAGGATCACTACCTTTCCCTAATTCTCTTCAGCTCTTAGTGACAGTTCTGCTTGTGTTCATATTTCATCCTTCAGTTCAAAAAAGATAAGTGGCATACATTTAAAAGTTTATAAAAACAAGATTAAAAGTTTCAATAATTTACATAAGCCTCTTCTGTATCGCATATTTTAAAAGAACATATACTGCGACATAGTACCAGAAGAAAGTTGCACATGACTTTTAAATTTTGTAGCTGCTCTTTTAACACAATATGATAAAATCTGTGGAAAACAGAGACTGCCAGAACTCTTATTCATGACCACACCTAAATTTAATTTCATAGTAACAGATTTTATTTTTTAAGAGTTTTTAATTCAATTAAGAGTTCAGTTTGAAAATCTATTCAAATCAGACTGAGTTGAGAGTGATTACTTTGATACTTCCTGTTGGATTTTTTTAAAGCTAGAAGGTAAGGTGCCTTTTTTTTTTTTTTTGCAAGTAAAAGTAACTTACATATTGCATTTGACTCTGATGTTTCTGAAAGCCTTGCCGCATATGAAGAGCTAGGTTATATGGTAATATATATATGGTGTACATCTTGCAATCTTAGTTTGACATTTTTGCCCGCTGGTGTCATCAGAGACAGTAATGGATAGTGCTGTATAATTTTATTGGAATGACAGTGATTGTTTTCATTTGTAAAAGCTAATGCACTACTTGCTTCTTTGGCTGTGAAATGCGAACCTGTAGATCAGCTTTAACCTTACAAAACCAGAAACGAATGTTTCTGATTACAGGCCAAGATCAGTTTTAACAAAATATACTGCAATATTCATCAAGCAGTAAATGTAAGTCCAGCAGGTCACTAACACATTAGGTTAGGCGAAGCATCAAAAATCCTCTGAAGCTTACCAATGAAAATAAATAAATAAACTTCTATAATAAATAAATAATCAGACAGACACATAAATAAATAAGCATCTGAAATAAATTAACACAAATAAATAAAAATAAATAATATTGTAAATAAACAACTGCTGAGAGTTTGTTTATCCATCCATAAGTATATTTGACCTCTTCAACCATATGAGAGCTTTCATAAACAACTTCAATTGGTGTTGATTTGAGGGGATAGGGGAGTTTGGGGGGATCATCAAAACTACACAAACCAAAAATGAAGGCTTAACCCGGTGTCTTTCAGATTTCACTGAAAAGGTGAAGATTTTGGGGGGGAAAACTGCATTTGTGTGCAGTTTTCCCAAAAAAAATCAGTGTGCATTATTGTTTCTCTCTAATGAAGAAAGATTTTATTGTGTTATCTCCAGTATTGTCCTCTTCTGAAGTCTGCCAAAAGCCATCTGTCCATCTCCATTGGCACTTGGTGGGGTTTGATCAGGCCTGTGTTTTAGTTGGGCTGTTGATCCTCAGATCACAATGCTTGATTATTTATTTGTTTGTTTTAATCCTCCCCAGATATAGCTGTTGACTACAAAAGAGCTCAATAAATATACACCGAGCTCTTCTAAATTCTTTTCTGGATGTTTGGCGTTCATTCAATCAGGGAGTTCTTTGAAAAGATAGTCTTCCAAACCACACACAATAAACCATGGTTGTTGCTTGTCAAATGCTGTGATGTTTACTTTGATTATACTCCTATGTGTTGTTGCCACCATTGCATGGCCATCACAGAAGTGGTGTGAGGTACCATCTGTGATGTGCAGATACTGAATTGCTGAGCAAGCACACAGACCAGATACTTCTCATGCAAAATTCATTCCTTTCTCTTTCTTTCTGCAATTGGAGAGGATTAATCCTTCCCTTCTCTATGTTAGCGTCAAGAGGGCTGACACTAGAATATCCGTGGCTTTTGGGATGATGGCTGTTAGTGCTTGTTCTGACAACATAAAGAACTTTTCTTTGTTCTTCTAAGAAAACAATGTGAAACTCCTATGCAGAAGTTTAAGCAGGTAATGAACAAGATTTATCTGTAACGTGCAATGTTGCCAGGGAAGGTGTGCTGTTCAGTCTGGGAGATTATGTAAGAAGCAGGAGCCTCCACAGAAATTTGCTTCGGTTTCCTCCAGTACTGACTCCTCTAAGCAGGTGAAAAAAAATTCTTTCTCCACTCTCCATTGCATATGCATAAACAGCTCCACAGTCATTGGGACAGCCACCCAATTCACACGTTCAAGATGTAGTCCCTAAAACATTCCAAAAAACCCCCTCTTCGCACTTTCCCATCTTCCCCGTGTCTCTGCTCTATCTGCCAGCCGTGCAGCTCATTTGACATTTACAAGATTTCTTGTCAGTTTGATTTGGTGCCGCCATTGCAGCCAGCAGAGCAGTGAAAGCAAAATTGACTTAATTTAGGCTGTTTCTCTCTCCTGCTCCAGCCCCCATGGTAACTAACCGACACAGTGAAACTGTCAAGGCTGCTTGGCATCTTCACACCTGGAGCTGGTCAAGGAGAAGGTGGCTGATAGGGAGCAATGCGGTAAATTGGAAGATGAAAACCAGGATTGCGGAGGGGAGAGTAAAAGAGGTGTGAGCATACAGCAAGAACAGAGAGAAGGAGTAAATGTGCTTATTTCCCAGACATCCTGGGTGCTGTTCTCTAATATGGGTGAATTCTCCGCCTCTGCCCTGAAGGGAGCAGTATGGGCTAGAATAGACAGTAGTTAGCTGTCCAGACGCTAATTTACAAGGGATGCCCAGTTGAAAACATTAGCGCAGGAATACTGGTTTTCTGGTACCGGCATGGAAGAAACTTCCTGTCCTGGGTTACCGTAGCTTTTGTTGCTGCAGGTTTTCTGCTGCTGGAAGGAGGGGGAGAAAGAATACGAGACAAACATCCACTATAGGTTGATGTCAGTGGTTGGAAAAAAAAAGAGTCTGTTTGTTCATTGAAGATAAATGTATGCGTAATAAAACGTAACTCAGCATCTCGTATATTGTGAGGTTTCATGGAACTAAAAGTTGTACTACACAGGTGCTCTAGCTCCATCAAAACAGTAAATAATGAACAAACAATGGCTTTGTAACAAACTAGTGTAGTTAACAAATATATTTTTTAAATTAATTTGTTAACTTCTACAAGCTCTTCTCATACAGTGTAAATCATGCTGGTTTATTATATTATGTACTAATCCATATTTCTTACAGATGCTTTATGCATATATAACCTTAGCAGTTGCAGTGTAAATTAGTACTAGTATATATTTGCATATTCACTGGTAACATTTACACATACAGTTTGAATGAAGCTGTATTAATTAATTTCGAGTTATATTGCCTTCCTTCTCCACAGCTCCAAAAGAATAATCTTTTTTTATTGTCTGACACCTGCGGGGTTTTTGTTCTCTGGGTTTATTGTTGTGGTTTTTTTTTTTTTTTCCTGAGACGTATTTTGTTTGCTTCACCCATTTAGGAATTAAATAGTTTTAATTACTTGGACCTGTATAAGCTTGCGGACCTCTTCAACCTCACTTTGTTGGAGAATGCAGTGGTTGACTTCTTAGTAAAACATCTCTCTGAGCTATTGAAGAGTCATCCTGAAGAAGTTCTGGCACTCCCGTACTGTCTCCTTCGAGAGGTTTTTAAAAGCGATAGACTCACTTCACTCAGTGAAGAACAAATCTGGCAGGTAAGGAGATTGGTGAACAAGCAGAATGTGTGACACTCTATAAACCATGGCAGTCAGTAATCTGTTGTTTTGAAACCCTGGAGCAATCTTGAGGGAGAATAAGCACTGGAGCAAAAACTGTGAATAACAACTGAGGGAAATTCTTAAATTAAATTCAAAAAATGTTGTGCTATGTTAATGCAATTAGTTTGTTTGAAAAAGAAATTTGTCTTATTGCTTAACTTGTGTTACTCGTTTATGGCCAGAGATTTTCTTCTATATCCAACTTTGCTGGTGGGAAGAGACGGCCGATGCATGCAGCTCAATTATCATTGCCTCTGGTGAGGCTGGTGCCACAAGTCTGGTGGCAAGCTTGCCTCTGCAGCCTCTCCTGTTCACTTCAGACAAACTTATCTGTGTAACTTCAGAAGTCATTTAAACTGTTTAGTCCGCCACAGCCAACTTTGCCTGAAGCAAGTTAGAAAATCGTCACACAGGCTGCTCTGCTCAGAGATGAGTGGAGGCTTCAGTGGAAGGTTTGTGGAAAGAAGCTGGAGATGGTGATCATTTCCTTTAAAATAGCTGGGTCTAGAAAAGGGCCAGGTTGCTAGCCATAGAACATTAACAACATAAAAGCATTATGTTGTGACCTTTAGTGTGTGTGAGAAATGTAATATGAAAAAAACACATAGTCTGTAAAGAGAAACACAAAAACTAACCCAAAATCTATCCTTGGAAACATTCCCATCACATGTCTGTAAAAATTGCAGTTTACAACGTAGTGGAAGGAAATCTCTATAATGTTGGTTACCCAAACGCTTCTCTCTGTTTCCTTTTTGCTGTCATGTTTTTTTCAGAGGAAAGTATTTCAGGGTATTTCAAGGTAGAGTAACTTTCTTTAAAGAAACCTGTGCTTTCTTTTTAGGAAGTGGGTTATGTTGGTCCAACAGAGGAGACTGAGAGTCAGAAGACTGATTTATATTTCAATTCCTGTTACTTATCTACTTATGTTTTGGATTATTCTAAGCAAATAATTTCATTTATATGCCATTGTTTTCTCAAAGTGTAAAATGTGTGTTCATCTGTGGGGCACTTTGTGGTCTGTGGATGAATAACATCATTCAGCCACAAAATATTTATTCTTAAAAAATAAAAATGTCTAGTTAAGCTCTTCAAACCACAAAGGCAGTATGCAGATGTAACTTAACCCTGTAGTCTGGTCACTGGCATATTTGTTTATGAAACTTTGAGGCTGTAGACTATGGAGTATTTTACAAAGATGGTATTCTGTGGAAACACTAATATAAAGTAAGACCTCTTCCTGTCCTAATCCCTGGCGAATGTCTGTACAACAGAACCTGCAGCACACCACCTATGATGGTGGGTTTGGTTCAGATTTTTTAGGCACTCTGGAGTCACAGAATCATGGAATGGTTGCAGTTGGAAGGGACCTCTGGAGAATCCTAGCCTATATTCCCTTTGTCAGAAAAGGTTTTGATGTACAAGATGGGGCATGGCTGATTGGCCAATTGGGTTTCATCATGATTTCTCTGCAGGGTCAGTGAAATCTCCAAGCTACATGCTTGGGTATACTTCTGCTAGAAAAGTTGTTACAGGAAGCCATGCAAGTCTAACTTAATGCCAGCTCAGTAATGAGTAAGCGTATCTAGAGTAATATGCCCTCTGCAACCTGCTGAAACAGAGTCTGGGAAGTGGGAGTTTTTAAATCTTGTCATTGTCCTGTTCTGCAGGAAAAACTCAGAAATAATTTTCTTAATTGTGTGCACTCCAGTCAATGAACACACTTCATGGGGCAACTACGACAAAGCTTCTGTTCCTGTTGCAAGGTCATACTAGGGAGGGATACTTAGAGGTAGTAGGCTGCTTTCTGAGTGACAACAAACTCCACACTGTCCATTTAAGTGTTATCATAATTGCCTCGCTAAAGGTTACTAATTCTGTTCCGAAGAATTTTTTTAAACTGGTTTTCCGCTGCAGGCAAACATGCATGTGTCTTTTTAATTCAGTCTGTACAACCAGGAATAAATATATATTTATAAATACTCCAGGTCCCCAGAATGAATTAAGAGACACACATAAATATTTACCAATTTAGGCATTCAGAAGGCAATAAGAAACTGGTTTTTTGCTTTATCTTAGTAAATAAGTAATTCCCTCATAGTCAACCCAATAGAAGAAAATCAAATCAGACCAGCTATATTGCCTCAAGTGTAGTTAAGTTCATCATTTTTGCTAAGGTTATAGTGGTAATGCAATATACCATGGAAGAATCTAATATTCAGCCCAGGGTGAAGATTGGGTATGCCAGAGGATTAGTGTCAGGGTGCTTTATAGAACTGAAACTTGATGGACAGGCTGGAGACAGATCTACAGAATCTCATTAAATTGCTGAATTGTTCATTACTGAGCACTCTCACTGTAATAAAGTGCTCATTGACTTTGACAAATCCCCATCCCATGTCTTAAGGAAGAACAGCAAAGCAAGGGGTGTTGGGGAAGCTGGAGGAAATTGGCACAAAGTGGGGCAGATAATAGAAAAGCTGATGGGGGGATACTGCCGTTTGATTTGTCTGTCTTACCTGTGACTACTGTGGCCTCTTGCACACACACATGCATGCATGTTATGGCGATACGAATTCAGCATGTCCCCGGGGCACCTTTACTAGTAGGGCTTCCGTGAAGCCTTAAGCACAAATGAAAGCTTCCCTCAGAGAACCTCTGGAAAGGGTGCCACTGTCTGCAAAGCACAGTTATTTTCACTAGTTTAGATTCCCAGTGTCCACTGGGTGATTCAATCCTAATGCACATAAAGGTTAAGGCAGTTGTTCTACTGTGTCACAATGTGTACACAGACTGATGCTTGAATGTGATTTAAACTGAAGTGACTCAGCTCATATCTGGCACGCTTTGGATTTTTGTTAGACTACCAATTCACAATTGCCCAATTTTAGTGAAGGTGGTGAAATATAACCTTGAAAAAAACACATTTGAGAAAGTTAAACAGTAATATTAATCCACATCCTAGTATACTGACATTAATGTAGAGTACTACAGTAATACCTGTTGATTCTTTCAGAAAGAAAAATCTGACTTCAAAACCAGGGTAAAGTGGACAAACTAAGTAGTTCATTCCTTTTTCTACCTCTTAAAGTCTTATGAAACTCTTTGGCTTGAGGTAGGTGTCTTATTTTTAGTGGAGACAATAGACAAGGAATATGATTATGTATTTCCTAAGACAAACAACAAAAAGCCCACCAGAAAACCTCCATAGGCTGTGAAATTGGAGCAATTTAGCAGCCTCCATCATTAGGGGTTTTTTTAGCTAGGCTAAGCCAGTAACAATGATTATTAGTTGACATAGGATTTGTTTTCATATTGAGTTTTTACATTTTGCTAGCATGTGAGATTATGAAATATTATTTTGTATATACGAGATTCATGATTTGTCAGCTGTGGGTAAACTTAAAGCAGTGACATGGAAGAAAGGATTAAATAAAAAAAATGAAGAAAACCAAGGAGGAATCCTGAAGAAGTTGGAGGGGAAAAAAAGCAAATTCTTGGTATTTTTCCTCTTCATCATGAGCTGTGCAGTACACCCTTTTTTCACAGGAAATGGTCATGATGAGGACATAAATGTCTAGTTTATCATGAAGTGAAAAGTGAATCTTTTCATAATTGGCCATTACTAGAAAGGCTCATTGGCTCTGCTTTAAGGAAGCAGATGAATTCTTTCCCTTGATAATTGAAAAGGTAACCAAACCTGTAAGACAGAACGTGTTCATAGAGAAATCTAGCAGTAGAGGGCTTCTTGTTGGAACCTTAGCAAGTAGAAAGTAAGCCAAAGATTGAAGTAAAAAATTGATGTTAGCCTTAGTTGTAATATAGTTATGCCTTATGTTCATTATTAAAAACTTCAGTGTCATGAGGCTTAAATGTTCGTATTTCAAGGATAATATTAATAGTTACAGATAGAAATATCTACTGGATCATTCTGTCTCCCAGCAGTACATTGCTCAGACAATACTGTATTAAATACTGCACTTGATCCAAGGTGAACTTCGAGTCACATTTGGCAAAAAATCTTAACATGAGATCAGTATAGATTAGTTTCTTCCTTTTTTGCTACTGGTTAATTAGGTTGTTAAAGGATATATGTATTTTTAAAACAGCTAGCATTAAAAATAGATCAATTTTAGTATTTGCCAATATTTCTTCTGAAGTTAAGGTTAGGAGTTTTTTCTTGGTTCTTTTACTTTGCCATGCAACTCAGTTTCTTGGTAATCAACTGATAAGCAAGCAATCTAGGAAAAAATGGTAGATAAAACTGCATAAGTAGTTTATTCATCTAGAAAGCATGCAACTATGTTGTGTTTTTTCCAGGGCTAGGCTCCCAAGGCATTCTAGCCCTGTTAACTTCCTTGTGTGCAACTTGAACTTGTTTTCTTGAAGTAGATTTTCCACATGTGAAAGTGTAACACTAGTTATTCCTTTTATTACTGTGGATGTGATGTGCAAAATCAGTCTTTGGTCTCTGTATTAGAAAAGTGGTTTTGCTTGAATAAATAGAAAAATAAAAGACAGGAAACTACAGTGTTACAGGTCAGTATGAGTTGTGAATCCTCTAGTTTATAAAAATAATAAATGTATAAATCAAATTTTTTTATTACAGTCCTGTTCTAAGGGAGAGTAAACTGCCCTATTTTCAACTGCCTTTTCTTATACTTGAGCTCCATTTTGAATCTCCTGGTGGCATTTCTGGATGGCCAAAATTATTCTCCAGCAGAAATCCCACAGAGTTCAGTACTGTAGGAAATTTTGCAGTGTACACATTACAGCAGGCTGTTACGATGGAACAGTTCTCTGCTGAAGACAAGCCCACAGACATCTTCCATACATCTGCAGCGATGCCCACATTTTCGTATGCAGAACAGCAGTTTCTAAAGTGGGTTGTTATGTTCCAGTACGAGCTTGCAGTTCTTTCAGTGCAGTACTTGATTTTT